GCCATGAATCCTATTCTGGCAGTAAAAGATCTTTGTGACTTACTTTATTGGAATAATTAAAAAAGTGAGACAATTGCTTACAGCATGCATGTCCTTAGCTTTTTTAGCTGGAGGATTCTCTGATGAAACAGTCTGATAATCCGATGCAAGCTGTGCGTCAGCAGGCACCATCTTGTGGTGTGCAATATCCACATTGCCCTGGAGAAATAAAGGATACAAATATGGAAATAAAGGAAGTGAATCAACACCAAATGGCTGATTCTGCAATTAACACTTCAATTTGAAAGGTTGAACAGAAAAGTGGACAATGGCATTCATGAACAACCTAAATATACGCAGTGATAATCCTACACATCTGGTACTGGAACATGCTCACGTGTGATAGTAGCATTTCAAAGGTACATTACCATGATTAGCAGCTGTTTTTCAAAGGTCAGCTTCAGACCTGGGTTGAATGTGCCCCCTGTCAAACTAGTCATCTCATGGATCTGGTAAACCTGAGGAATTGTCTTAATGCACTCCAAACAGGCCCTGAAGAAATCCTGAAAAACAAACCAGGGCTCTGTGTGTAATACTTATAAACACACATCTAACAGAGCTGATGACAAGTGCAATCCTTGTAGTACCAGTACCTCTGTATATTGCATAGCTCCTGGTGATATGAAGTTGTAGTCCTCAGCACATATTTTGGCCACATCTTGCAGGTACCGCATGAAGTGCATCACTTCATTGTTAACTTGCTCCTTTAATCTCTAAAATATGAGAGCAGATTATTTGAAGAAGCAACACAAGGACTGGCAGAATTAAAATACCATCAAGGAGAGAATGTTAGTACCTGTGGAAGAGAACTTTTTTTCTTACTCCTCAAAATGTCAAGATATGTCTTCTGCTCTTTGCTGGACAGGCCTGACATACAGGGGAAGGGCAGTCTGGGTTCAGGATAAGGAGCATCTGCCTCTTTCTCAACTTGCTTGAGCTTTTTTCTTGAATTTTTGGTATCCTTAGATTCTTGTGCACCTTCTGCAGCATTGTCTGCACACGGATCATCACTATCACAGCTGTCCCTGCGGGACTCTTCCTTATTGATGCAACTGCTGTCTTTAAACTCTGCGGCTTCTTCTGTGGAGGTGGAGGGAGAGCAAGAGGCTTGTACAGCCCCAGTATCACCCTCCTGTTTTATGTTGGAATTCTCTACAGGACTTCGGGAAGGGAAAAAAATGAGGGCAAAAGAACAAGTCAAATAAACACTCTAGTTACCCTTTAAAAACACAGTAAAAATGCCCCAAAACTGATGTATTTCTTAATATGTTAATTTATTGACATACCTTTGGAGAAAGGCCCACAGTTCTCTGATATTAGGTGCAAGGGAATATTTGTCATAGAGCTCTCTGGTAAAGAAAGGAGCCTCAGGGACAGGAGGGTCCTCCCTTTAATTAAAAGGAGAAAATATATGGTTATTAGAGGACATGTCTTGTACCCATACATTCATAACTGTTTCTGCACTGCCCTTTATTTGTCCTGGGGCCGATTTGCATTTCTTTTGCTATGCAAGATAGGAGTGTTGATAGGTAGGTACCAGGGTGGGAAATTAACTTTTTAAATTGCAAATTCATACCATCCACCAGCCACCGACAGATAAATGTTCAAATTCACCAACCATTAATAGTTAATCATTCATTTGTGTCTTATTATTTTATTTTACTAATATTCAGCTGGTGCTAATTCCCCACCACATAGGGCAGTGATTCACAATCTTTCTCCACAAGAAAGCACTTTTCTATCATTGAGGCAACAGATATTTTATGGATATCTAATATTATACTGAATGAATAACAATACCAGTACAGAAAAACTGATGAACTGTACGATGAACCCAAATAGTAAACACAATAACTGCAGGAAGCAATTTTGATTAATTTTGAGCAGATTATTTCATGATATTTTTAGAAACTTTGATATCCAATTATTTGTCTGTATTATGTTTTGTTTTTTGGGAGAATACAAAGCTAAATAAATACAATTACAGAATCTTGTCCCTTGCAAATATTTATTTTTTACAGATCTCCAGCTGACCTTGAGTCTGTCCAGAATCACACACTAATGTATGCCAGTAAGCTTTCAGCATTCAGCCTACGAGCCTTTGAGGCCAGAACCCTGCTCACAGCACTAGACTACAACTATCATAAGGACTGACGAAGCCTGATGGAAGCAAACAGTGAGTTTGATTCTTTCAGGCCATATTAATATGTTTATTGCACAAACCAATTTAGAGAGAGACCTGAAGAGGGGAGAAGCGTTGATGGGGGAGAGTACTGCCAGGAGGAGATGAATGGAGAGTGGAGAAGAGTCTTCTCCACTCTCCAGTCATCTCTCTTTTCCTCAGCTCATTCCATGGTAACATAAAGACGGATGATTATACACTAATGAAAACATACCTATGAATATTATATTACAGTTCTACCAATAGATCCACCTAATTGTTACACACTGGACCTTTAACGCAGATAGAAACTATGATTTCTTTCCTCCATCCCTGTTTGCTAAAGAACTAGTCCACACCACAGTATCTAAAGTTTTTCTCTAATTATTATCAACAGTGCCACCGTTCCAGATGGACTGATGAGCAGCAATTTCAAACCTGTGCCCACTGTTAATTTATAATCTGTTATAGTTATATAATTATATTACAAAATTTTATTAATATAATTATATAACTATAACAGATTATAAAGTAACATATATTTTATATTTAGTAATATTAATTTATTATTATTATTATTATTATTATTATATAATATAATATTCATTTATATCTGTATTCTACATGTCATTTTCTGCATTGCTTTTCCAGTAAGGCCGGTGGACTGGCTTGAGTTAAACTGCAATACCATTATGGTGAGAATTACTTGAATCTCAATACTAGTAATAACAGCTAGAACTTAAATCTTTGATTGTGGTATTTTATTATTGCTGTAATATTATTATTATTGATCTCAGTGCTAGTATTGCTAGTATCATTAGTTTAGTCATAAACTATATACAGCAGTTAGTTATAAGAAAGTTTTCACTTATCACTGCTGTAACTCCTGTTTGTCACAACCATTTTCAGCAACTCAGTTTCATTACAATACCAACTTTTTAAATCCCTTTTGTGTGTATGGACCTCTGCCTGCATTGCACTGTAAATAACATATTTATACATGATTAATAAAATAGTCGTTTAATGTGGTATTTAATATGGTTGGCTTTCACCAACTCATAATGCTCATCTTTACTAATCATTTTAAAGTAAAAATGATTACAGCATTATTGTTCATGAATAACTCAACTACAAAAACAAATTATATGAGGATATAAACATAAATCAGGTTAAACTAACTGGATTGATCTTCTGTATAACATTAATAATGTTTCAAAAAGTGAAGTGTTTTGATGACCTGGTGATCCACAGAGGGGAGAAAGTATTGAACTGTAGTTTCATTGTCCTCAACCTGGCAAAGACAACTTGGTACAATTTTAAAATGTACCATGCATGTCCTTCCTAAATAGTTTCAAATAGCAAAGTATGTTATATATATAACATTTTTTGTGTTTTGTTGTGTTGTGTTTCATGTTATGTGACAATCAAATCTATCCCACAGCTCTATAGGATGTCTCAATGTAAACGCTGTCCTACTGTGTGTTGTGATAGTGGAGTTAACCAGGCTCACACAACCATGTGTCTGTTGTTACACAGCTTCAAGTCAAGCAACCGAAACACACAACTTCCCGTTTCAACCTTCAAAATACAAGCTGACGTTATCGTAACGTCGTTAAAATCTAACATTATTGTTTAGTTAGTCTGGATATTTAGGAACACTGTTCAAAAACAACGCCACAAATTTCGTACGACTAAAAAAAGCTCGGTGATTTATTATAATTATTATTATTATTATTATTATATGTGGCTTGACTGTCTGCTAGCCACAGTTAGCAGCGCAGTTCTCTCGTTTGGTCTTCCCCGCTACAGACTTGTGTTTTAATCATTAATAACAGCAAAACGAGTAACTAAACAAAAACAAAAAACTATTAATGACACAGCGGCGACGTCTATTATACAAGAAGCTAACATTTGGTTAGCTTAGCGAGGTTATCTGTTAGTCACAACACAACTCTCGGTGGTAGCACTAACTAGCTAATGTCACTAAAGATCTACCACTGTGGCATTCTGCACAAAACACAACGAACATATTACAACATTACCACACTAGCTCCATTATTGTCACTACAGGAGAGGCAGCATCAAATCCGTTAGCATTAGCCTGTTAGCAAACGTTTGACAGGTGACGGTCTTCTTCTTCTTCTTCTGTTGGTTTTATGGCGGCTGGAATCCTGCAAGCGCTGCATTACGGCCAACTGCTGGATTTAATCAGTGTCACAGTGCAAACTGTTTACAGTGTGCACCCAAAGTAATCCCCCTTCATGACCTTGTTCATTTTATAAACCAGACCTAGTCTGAGTCGGTGCAAATCATTCCCTCAATGTCATATATAATTTATAGATATAGATTCAAAAGCACACTTTACAACCAATAAAATGCCCCAAAAATGTTTCTTGGACAGGCATTGTGTTATTAATGTACTGAATTTATATTTGATATATGCCATGATCACAATTGCATTTTCCTATGGCTTAATATTTATCTTACTGTGTAGCTATATGGCCAGGGGTGTTTATATGCTGTAATAGTATGTTGGACTATTATGTTTTCTTCAACAAAGTCTAACTTTGCTCAGATTTTTATTGCCAGTTGAATTGAATTACATAATTTGGAGAACAGTTTCCAGTGGAGTGAGTCTACCAACTCTGATTAAATATTAAAACACTAAGTAGGACGGTTAATAAATTAAAAAAAAATATTGTAAATCAAAAACTAGCAATTTGATTAATTTTGTTACAAGAGAGTGAGCTGGGAGGGAATAGACAACAGAGACAGATAAAGAGTCAGGAAATAAAGCCCATTACAAGCGGTAAATTTTATTATGGGATAACAGCACATAAAGCACATCTAAAATCGATGTGTCCAATGCACTTTTAATAAAGGTAATATTAAAGGTACAGTTTCTAAGTACAATATAACAACATTCATATTAGAATGAAAAGTATTTAAAAGACAACATTAAATTTCTTATTTTTCTTTACAGCTGTATTTACAAAATGAATCAAAATACTTATTTTCATATTTAAGAATCAGACAAGAAGGAGCAAAACTACGTTTGTGAATAGACTACCTGCTAAAGAGAGTTCAAAAGAGCTGGATAAAAAGGTACATGATCATCTGTCCCCATTTTAACATCAGTAGCAAACGTGTGACTTAGAAATTTGTGACAACCACACTAGTTTCGGCTTTCCCATAATTTGTACTGCTTTTGCATGGAAAAAAAAGAATCGACCCGTGCTCCACCCACCCTTCACGTTACCCCAACCGACTGAGCGTACGTTGAACACAGAACATTAAAGAAATCCAGATGTGTTGTATGCCTTTTTTACAAACACATACAAATACTTGACATACAATGCATTAGTAAATCTTCTGTTCTCCGTTAAATAAGAAAGGAGCTGATATAAAACAAACAGAAAACGAAGAAAAGTGGATTGCCTGTTAGTTTTTGCCTATGCAAAAAACAAAAAACAACGTGCAGGTGAACTTTTGTGTAATATTTTCTGCGACCATTTATTTGACCATTCAAGATCAACATGAAACAAACTTTCCAGTTGTGTTTCTCAAATAAGGTGAGGGATGTGACATGTACACTCAAAACGGACCATCAAAACATTGAAACCCTTTCACATAGTGCATCAACCCACGTGAAAATGATTACCATCACATAAAAGAAAGAATCTGAAAAAACATTTGAAGCATGTGAGAGTGAGAATTCATCCTCATGTACAAAATACATTGTCACTTCAGTACACGTCTGGAAAAACCACAAAAAAAGACAATCAAAACCACGTATGCATCTTGTTACACCGAGAGGCACTCAGTGTGATACGTTGTATATTATTGCAAGCATATTCTCACTGATATTTGCTACAGAGTGGAGAGAAAAGGTCAACTTTGTCCTCAAATGGCAATTCTTTCATGTACATTTGTAACACTTCATGTGGTGCAAGAGGTTTATGCCACTGGTCTGAAGAAACCACTTTCAGGATAGTCTAAAATGGGGAATAACAAAAGCATACCGAGGCTCTGTTTAATAAAATCCAAGCACCACTTCCCTGCATCAGGTGAAGAACTATGCAGACGCAAGAGAGGTAAATATTTAGTATCTTAAAACCTGACAAACTATAGCCTCAGTGAGTGGTTTTTACAATCAGACAAAGAAAAAACACAATACTGCTGTTTCAGTTTGAATATTATCATTTTTCCACAAACCAGGAAAGCAACCTTAAATAGCTTGTTAATTAGCAGATACTAGCTTTGCTATAAGTCAGAAGGAAATAAGTGCCTTATCCCAAGACGAGCACACTGATACAGGTACTGGCTGGGTAATTTTTACCACTATCATTTTCATTATCATTATTATTTATTGAGTCCTAATATCAATAATACATTAATATGCAATGAAATGAATGGACTAATAGGGTGGCCAGGCTTAGGAATCAATACTTTGTTCACAAAATTAACTTACCTAGCACCACACATTAGGGCAACACAAAATAAATGTCAGCACACCCTATCGCTATCAAACTAATCCTAAAGGAGGGAAGCAAACTAGAAACAGAGTTATCGTACAATATGGTGTAATTGATAAACAGATAAATATTTTCACTGGGTAGGCCTTAGTAGCAGTATTTTCCTCTTACCTATACAGACAGAAATTACAAAGCTACCTTTATACATGTGATCAATAATAACATTAAATATGGTGAATAAACAGCCGAGAATGGGGGAGAGAGAAAGAGAGAGAAAATAAGATATACAGCATACAGGCCATGTCAAGTTCTTAGTTCTCCACCTGGGAACAGAACTGGTCAAATATACAGATGAAACATAAAAACATCCACAAAATCAACACAAAAATAAAACAAAACCAAAAAAGTGATAAATAAGAGGTGTATTTACATGCAGATGTTCAAAGACTATTATGCACAAAAGAATCAAAAATAATACACAGACATATATTATTGCTTGACATTCGATTATGGCTAAAAGTTGCTTTTCAATTTTTTTTTAAAACTATATTCTTAAACGTATTTTTAATCATAAATCCTTATCAGCTGTGCTTTGGAAAGTGAGTTATGTTAAAATATGACAACTGACTCATAATTCTGGGTAACACACCGACACTCCAGCACAACTTTTAAGCGTGACATAACTCTGATCTTCACAATTTGTATGGTCAAGAAGACTCATTTTTCACAATTTACAGTCCAGAATTCACTCCAATTCATTTCAGCTCAGGCTGTTGCCGTGCTGTCCGAACTGATAGCGAAGCATGTTTGCACTGTGAAGCTGGTCAATGTTGCCTCACAGCATCCTGCAGACCCATGAATTGTTGAAGGCATTATGTCATGCTTTTAAAAACCTACACCTATTTATGGATGGATCAAGCTCAGCAATTCCAAAGCCTTTTAAAAAAAAAAAAAAAAAAAAAAAAAAAAGTCCCAAAATAAAATCAAGACCTCCTCGTTCCACATAACCCTGTTCCCTCTGTAATTATTAAAGCCTTGTCTGGGGTTTATTTTATTCACACACTGCGAGAACAAACACATACACACACAATCGCGCGCACACACACACACACACACACACACACACACTATTGCTTTTTACAAACAGACAACAGAGCAGAGACAGAAGGACCAGCACATTTTACTGAATACTATACACTGATTGAATAGCACACGTAGCATCAATCCCTTACTTACAGTAAATTGGGATATCTCAAGTGAGAATATACAGAAGGACATCACTTTACAGGCCTGTGCGAAGGCGCAGTTTTTAGTTAGACACAAGTATTCATGTGTTTGATGACCATTTTCTGCTATCCTTCCAACAATACCAGTACATAAGAAGATGAAAACAGATTAATGGGGCTTTATTATTTTTTGTTCTAGACTGAGAGTAAACCTTATCAGTTTGAGTCAGCTGAATGAATAAAGTCAATTAAAAAACGATGATGACTGCACTGTAGAGACCCGTAATTGTAACACAAGGCATATTGCTTGTTTTATATTGTAGAACACATTACATGCCACTCAAACATGTAGACTTGAATGAAAAACAAATTTTCACTTTATGAGAGGAGAACCGTTTTGGTGGTAGACCTTCGCTGATCATATTTGAGAAAAACTGTTTTATGTGACCATCAAGCAATATTACAACAGCTTAAGAAAACGGAATCATTTTCAAGAAACAAACCAAATTTTTTTTTTTTTGCAAATAAATAACAGGAAATCAGCCAAATCTCCATCTCTTTATCATTTTCTGAACAGTAAGTGCTGTAACTACCGTTCAGTGTGCCATGCTACCTCTTCTCAGTGCTTTGAAGAGATTTTAAAGACCTCATAAATTCACAACAGAGCTAATCAAATGCTCTGCAACTGTCCAGAGGAAAGCAAGCTGCTTCTTCGGTCTACCTGTTACCTCCCTGAGCGTTCATACCTCATCCTCTTCGCTGCTCTTGCCAGGCCACTGGGCCTCTCAACCTGGATTGTCTAGCAGTGTTCCAGACTGGGTTTTCTTTTGCTGGGAGACTGAGGTTTACTAGTCGTAGAGGGCTTGTGCATATCCAAATAGCATTGGATCATAACAGAGATTATTACTTAGGTACAGCATATACCACAACCCAAACACAACAGATTTAGTATTGCATAAGAATATTTGGTTTTTCTAATAAAGAGGGTTATCATTTTTTAAGACCCTGATGACACCATTTGAAACCAAAACAGATTTTTGTGTGACAGGAATATGCTGTGTACTGATAAAACTGTGGTTTGTAAAAGCGATGGGGTTTTGTTGTTTTTACAAATGACATTTTCTTGAACTTGACCGTGGGGGCGCAGTGGTGGTCTTTGAGTGGCTGGAGGCCCCTAATGGACATCAATGATGTAAAATTCGGAAACCACTCGGTGATGAATATTCAAATGTTAATCTCAATCACTGACAAAAAACATAAACTAAACCTAATGAGTACAAACAAATGTCCTCTCAAAACAGAAAGCGCAAAAGAAACTCGTCCCTGAGGGGTGACAGCACAAGGCATTAACGCCTTGTGCAAATTGCACGGCAGAGGAATGATAGTGTGCAAACAGAAAACAAAAGACAAACAACTGGATTCTATGTTGCTGTTGGTGACAGATGTATTAACATGCTTTGTTGGGTTTCTAAAGGGATATCACTTTTCTTTTTTTTTCCATTTCTTTTTTTTTTTTGCTCTTTTTTAAAAGATATTTCTAGAAGCCGCTACAGAGATTGCTGGAATGTCTTAGGAATCCATTCTACATTATAGACGAGTAGACTGGAAAGCGGAAGCAACGACTACTGTTTGGCACATCCAGAGTTTTTTTCTACCACTTTACTACCACACTGACAAGAAAGACACACTCAACATAACGGAAACACAACAACAAAGCATTCTGAAAATAGCACTTGTCCTACCATTTTTATGTTTCTCCCCTAATCATACAAACAACAGCTAGTCTAATTATTGCGGGAATATAGTTAAGTGCTACCTGACATCTTTTTCTCTCCCTCGTTCTCTTTCATGACTTTATTAACCAAAACATGTTACAAAAATAGAAGCTTTACTACCAGACAAGGCTTTGAATATTCACTTTCCCTTCACTGTTCCTTCTGTGTCCTGTTGTGGCATTGGTGGGCTGAGGCTGTGGTGAGAAGGCAAATAAAGTCACTCAAAAACAACAACAAAAAATGCTCAAAACATTTTGACAGAGGCTCATGAATGTGCTTTTAGGTAGACCTTGCATCTTTGTCAGGCTTAGGCTGTTAACTCGCTTGCTGTATCTATACCTTCCACTAGATGGAACAATTGGATTACAGTCCATGTGTGATCTTTCCAGTCTGGCTTCAGGGCTATTCAATGTTGATTTATAAGCTCTGGCTGCAATAATGTTGGATTTTTATGTTTTCTTGTGCCCTTCTTCACATAATATGTGAGGTTTTTCACAGTAAAATTTGTACCAAATATTTTTATTTAGACAAAAAGGTTTAAACAAATGATGTTCAATCCAGGTCTGTTCATAAGAAAGATCAAGAAACCCACGAGACTGTAACGTCACTAGAAGGTTTGTTGGCTGTTACTGTTATGTGTCCATACTTGCTAAAAGGAGTATAGGAGCTACATTTTGACAGGTGTCTGACAGGCAGTTGTTGAGGTAACAGGTGACAGAGCTTCTCTAAAATGTCTTCTCATCCATGCCTCTTTGTTCACCAACCAGCAGCCACACCAGCAATCCTGACAGACAGCCCTTACACTTCCAGACCAGTATCATCTGCAGCTCCCAGGACTAGCCTCTGTGACCATGGTTCAACTTGTATTTCTTGTGCACATGCAACACATCACTAGGTAAATATACAAGTCTTAAATTAAAGAAAAGTGTAAATAAAAGTGCCTTATCAATTCAACAATTAAGAATGGTCTAACTACTAATATCATACATGTTATTTAAAATAGATTCTATAAACATTACTTTTTTCTGTATAGTAAGTACTTATGACCATATACCCTGTAGTACATTATAAAACAGGTGGAATGGACCCTTTTCATTGTGTTGGTGCCCTGTGCTTCTCCAGGGCACCTGTCCAGAGAAGGATTAATAGCAGATGGCCTTACATGATTTCACTATGCAACAATGGTGGATGGAGTCTTTGACAGCTAAAATCATTGCGTTTTTCATTAGAATTACCAGAATTCTATGTTTCTTTTTTTTTTTTTAACGATTGTCCATAGAGAGGTGCCGATTGCATCACCATGCCGACAGACCCTCCCTCAAAGTCGCTGTGAGTTTTCATTCCAGGAACTGCGTCCAAAAGATACAACTGAACACAAGAGAAAAATGGCTGAACTTGACCAAAATGTGCGCATTTATCAGCTATTTATTTCAGTTTGGGGACAGATAGGGATAAGACTATTTAAAACTTTAAATATGACAATACTGAAACTGTTTTGGAGTGTAATCTGAAAAATTGTGATGTTGATTTATATTCTCATTAAAGACATCTTAAAACTATTTCAATTCCAAAAGTGACTTGTTAATTGGTTATACAATTACAAGTCAGATGCACAGATAAACTCAATGAAGGTGATGCAATAAATACTGGTGAAAATGAATGAATGAAATGAAGTGAATCATGAATTCCATGTTAGAAATGCGCAAAAGAGGGTCAAGTTCAACCAGACAGAAATTATTTGTCCCTATCTCCTCTTCATGTCCCATGGGGTGTCGGGTCCCACAAGTCTTCCAAAGAGAACTAAATTCAGTAAAGTAAACCTTGAGAATCAACTCCCTAAGCCCTCCCCTTTCGATGTAAAAGAAGGAGTTGAACAGCGTGCCATCTGTCCGCTCTGGTTTGTGCAGGGCACCAATAAAGTGTCTCAGATTCCTCCTCCACATTCCCCTACGGTGGGCACACTGGCACCTGGCAGGGCTGCTACCCGTCAACGGGCATGGACTGCTCAAAGTCTGATCCGAACAGCTCCTTGTATAAGGGGGGGAAGTGGGCACGCACAATGTCTGGGTATATTGCTTTGAAAGCTGTAAGCTTCTCTGTATGCCTACTGCACAGCGCTCGCAGTGTCGACACTTTGCATATCAACTGTGGAGAGAGAGGAGACAGGCTGTTTAGATTCACAAGGAAGCAAGGACATGGAGCAATGGTAGTGAAAAACATTCCTCCCTACAGTGTATTCCTTCTCACACAGGGGCAAACAGACTTGTAAATATTGAGACAAGCGCTAAGGCACGAGGAAAAGTTGACACTTCATATTATGGAGCTGGTACAATTGATAAATTGCAACTCCTCTACTGATAAAAAGGCATTTCATGTAACATTACGAATGCTTCCCCTGAAATTTGTGTTAGTTTAGGCTAATGTGCAAAGAATGGTTGATGGCCTGATCCAGATCCTAAACAGTGGGAGATTGCACTGCTACGAGGGGAGAGCATGCTTAGCAGACAGCCACTTTAAGGGCTAATGGATGGTTTGTGTGCTGCATCACACTGTACCTTTGTGAGTATACCATCCTCTCTGTGGTTCTTCTGCAGCACATGCTGGAGGGCCAGTTGGATCTTCTGCTGGAGTTTCTCAACCTTCACCTTCTCCTGGAGCCAGGACCGGTCTGAAAGGTAAATTATCACAACTTTTTGTTGCTGTACAAACACATGCAGGAACATGACTTACGTGAAAAGTAATGACGCAGTGCCACTAATATAAGTTATTAATTGATAGAGGAAAAACAGGAGCGTAACAGCGTTCCTTGTTGTGGTGAATGTGTGTCTACCATTTTTTTTCCCTTTGCACTGTGAGTGACACCTACCAGCAGACATCAACACAAAGGCGGAGAACAGGGCGATCTCATCCTCAGACAGGTGCATAGAACACAAGTTTTTCCCAAACTCGAAGACGGAGCTGATCAAGTCGTCACAGCCTGCCACAGCAAAGGACACAGAGAGAGGGCTTAGGATGAGGAAGACCAAAGAACAACATTCACTCTTGATCTTTATTGGGAGAGAGGCACACAGGGAGGGGAGAGGAAGGGGAAGGAATGAAAAAGAGCGGCATGCTGACAGCACATGGGAGCGTCTTAAGCAGAACAGGCAATGCTTTTACTGAGTTTTGCCTCCCAGACGAGTCACTTTTGGCAGTTGGGTGGTGTTATGCAAGGCAAAATGAGGTCACTATTGAGGCTTTTAGTTAAATCAATTATCGGGGATAGAAAGAGACAGGCGGATGCCACCGCGGCTCGGGAAGCCCATCACTCTGCCTCCCCCGCTGCGGACCCCTCTGTACAGAACACACAGGACACTGGGACTCTCGAAGCTGGGACAGATACACATGCTCACTCATACGCACTTGCAAACAGGGAGTTACAAGGACTGGTAAACTTGCACCACGAAACAGAATTCAGATTTTTTACTGCCACTATGGGACGATAAAAAAAAAAAAAACTTCCGTCAAAATGCAGTTGGAAATGCGAGAAAATCCGTGGTGGAGAGTCTTACTAATATCATGGCAGTCAAACACAAATGCTATTTGCTTTTGCCTGAGATGTTTTATGTCAGACTATCAATGATGGTTTTGATAGCGCTCTCCCTAAAGACACTCCGTCTGGCTTTATTTATTCCACAGTTACAGGAGCCATATGCAGCAGAGCCTCACTAACGTCTCTGTTCTACCATAAATAACCGTTGCAGAGACAGCAATGCCAGGTGAGGCAGGGATGAGTGCTCTGAGTTTGCTTCCAGGCCTTCAGCAGTGTGTAGAACAGAACAGCAGACTCTAATTTTGGCTATTACACCGAGGAAAGGAGTAAGACACTGTAAGAAACACACACCAACACAGCGGCATACAAATACACACATGCAGACTCATTCAAACGAGCACACACACACATACACCCACTCCACTTACCTAATGACTTGAACACATCAGGTCCGGCATACTTTCCATCAAAATAGACTGTGTTGTTTTGCGAGTCAAAGGCACGGCACATTCTGACAAACACAACTTCCAAAGAGCCTGTGGAGACAGACAGGAACAAGATGCTGAATCTGAGCTTTGTTTCTTTTTTTTCCCCTAACACTTACACATCAGTCAGGGATGCAAAACACATGATTGTGCTTTGTGCTGTTCTTCTACAACATGAGTAACAGAACCACTTTGAAATAAAGAAGCCTACTGTCAGAGGGAGAAAAAAAAAAAAAAACACCTCTGCAGATGATAATATCATAGACAGAAGGCTATTCTTCCATAACGACATGCCAGATAAAAATTGTGCTTCATTCAGTAGTGACAGTGCTTATTCATTCAACCTTTATTTAGCAAGATAGGTACGGGAATCTTTTCCATTTTGCAATTTGTACCACTCTGTGGGAGTGGATAAGAGGATCAAGAAAGTGTAGCAGAAGCCATTACTGCCTCTAAGGGAGATGCTACTGTTTTAAAATGTCACCTCTGACAAGGGATCTCAGTCTTTATTTCATTATTCATATTGGCTGTGCTAATGTAAATAATACTCAGGGAAAGACCCAGGAGAGGCGTTTGTTTGCTGCATGTGCCGTATGTTTGTGTGTTTGTGCGTGTGTGTGTGTGAGCATTCGTATGTACACACAAATATGGGTGACAGTGTGCACAGAGCCATAACTGCATTTAATATTCTGTAAGTACGTGTTCATGAGAGCAGTTTGAAAAAGTAGACATCGTCTGTGTCTGGGAAAAGAGGGAGAAATGGCAGCCGTCATGATAGGTATTATCTGAGCTCAGGAACACATTGCTTATCTAACGCTGTGTCCATCCCTGCTATGTATGTAATGAAAAGAGGAAAACAGAGAGCGACAGAGACAGAGAGAGGAAACAGGCAGGGTGGGGTCTCCTTTCTGTGACACTGTCTGTGCGTGTGAAGAAGAGGGCTTTGTGCAGTCAGGTCAGCTACGCCCTTGTGACAATGCCAGAGGGGGGTGGTGGTGGTGGTGGTGGTGGTGGTGGTGGTGGTAGTGGGTGAGTTTGACGGCAGCAGGCCATGTTGACAGGCTGTCATACCTGCTTTCAGCAGCACTATCTGATCATTCTGACACAGCTCCATGAAGCCGTCGATGCGCTTGGCGAACTCCACCACATACTGAATGGCCTCTGTTATTTTGATAGCACACAGCTGCCACATGACTTCCCGGGGCTAAGAACAGATAGGAAAGAGAATGGGTTATCTGCTTTAAAACAATGGATTTGATTACTGTAACTGCTGCAGAGGCCAGTGCAGGCTGGTTTGTGGTCGAGTTACCTTGCTCTGGTAGTTCTCCACCTCCTCCTGCAGGAAGGCCTGCCAGGTCATCTGCTGCAGCTCCTCCCTCAGGTACTGACATGTCTCCATGTGTGACTTGGAGATGTTCTGGGCCAGGTGCTCTGCAATACAACCATCGTCACAAACCCAGAAGATCACAGTTAGGATCTGAATGTAACTCACAAGGCTCTGTGAAAGTGAGGACCTCACTGATGAAATATGCCACAGGAAAAGCAGATTTATTTACTGAGCTTTCAAGAAGGAGGAGAGGCGGATACGCGTGGGCTTTTTTGACTGGGAAAAGGCTTGTTGACATTTCCTTTTACTGCCTGCAGGAAGCTCATAACTTAAGGTTGAGGCAAAGCCAATCTAGTTATGACACAAATGCATGGAGAGGAGGAGGGGCACCATGTTACTCACTGAAACAAAGGTCACATTTTCTCTGAGAGAAATATTGAGTATAAGAATTTAAATGGTTTTGAAAACACATCTGTTAAAAGGAGTTCCTAGGCACAGGGGAGCCTAAAAAAATGATTTCCCCAGACGCCTGCCCTGCTGGATCCTGATTGGCCCTAATTAATGGAAACTAATTACAAAAAAGAGGCTCTTTTAATGAGTGTTGGAGATGAGTCTCCAACCTCCTGCTATTTTAAGCAACCTTTGTGTCGTTTGCCCCACGGTTGAGTTGTTCTCCCCCCTCCTCCATTTTGCTGTCTCTCCTCTTGTCTCCCCCTGCCTCTCTCCTGCTCCTTACCTAATTCAGCCATGGACACGGTGGGGGAGGTTTCTCCGTTGGTGAAGGAGCAGTAAGGGAAGAAGCCAGAGCCGGGGGCAAAGTCGCAGATGGGCTCCGGCTTGATGCCGTTGATGTCCAGGCCTGACTGGTCAGGAGATGGCTGGATGTCCAAGTAGAAGCTGCTGACCGCCGAGTCTGGTTTGCTGCCATCGGGGGTGTGACCATCCATGTAGCCGCTGAGGTCGTCATGGAGCTCTGTGAGGCCATTGGCTGAGAGGCCATAGCTAGGTGTGAGCGGCTCCGCCTCTCCAGGCTGTTGTTGGTGGTCACGCTGCTGCTGTTGCAGCCTGTGCTTCTGGACCTCGGCGTACAGGCTGTCTCGCTGCTTCTTTGACATGCGGCCAAACTTCACCGCTGCAATTAGCAGGACAAAACACATGTTAAACTCGTCATACATCACAAATAATCAAATTTAAATGAATCACTGGTGTATGTTTATTTTCTATACATAGCACCTGGTGGCTTTTCTCCATACAGTAAAATAAGTTTCCATAAATATGTAATACCTTAGCTGATGTGTGGATGTTTCAGAAATTATAAATAATTTTAAAATCTTACCAGTGGTTTAGGTTACCAACACAAATAGACTTACTTCAATAATTTTCCTTAATCATGTGTACTTTTTTAAAATTCTAATATAGCAGTCTCCCTAGTTACTCTCATGAGTGATACCAATACTGATGTCTAGAAAATACCTGAAGCAGTAGAACTGCTCTGGAAATGAATCAAATTATCTTGCACTAAACATCTCATGCTAAATTGTTACTCCTTTGAAGAAAAATGTAATCATGGCGGCTGAGACTGATACAAAATGACTTGTTAAGATAACAAGGGACACTGATTGAACTGAGGATTAAATCCCTACTCGCTATAAATTGTGTGTGAGATCATTTGTCAATGTGTGTTGACACAGTAACACTCCACCAATCTTATTAAAATAGTTATGTTAGTAGTAAAATTGTATGTTACTATAAGACCAAAAGACGCTTGCACTAACTCCACCAAACTGATGTACAGTACAGTACAGAACAATCATATTCTCAGATAACACTGTTAGAAAAAAAGCAAATCTCCACATTTCTGGATGGATCAGTAAAATTATAACAAAAATGAACTGCTTCATAAGAACAGAGGAAGAAGTGAGAAGTGACTAACAGCTTACCAGCCACTCAAACATGAGACAGGCTAAGTTGCTGCCTCCTGTGTCAAGGTTTCCAGACTAAACAGTGGTGCTGAGAATGAGACTCCTTGGCCAGAGTTCTGGGGGCCTGGCAGTATGTCAGCCGGTCACAGTGTGTGTGTGTGTGTGTGTGTGTGTGTGTATGTGTGTGTTTGTCTAAGCACAGTGGAAAGCGAGTGGAGCGACGCAGAGGAGAGTGCAGGCAGATGGGCTCTGGTGTGTTGAGTGAAGGCAAGAGTCACCTTCGTCTGTCCTGAGTGCGCGTGTATATGTGCATGCGTGTATGTGCACGTGAGAATGTGTGTGGCTATGCAATGGTACTCACAAGTGCTAATGTACTTCTGTGTTCATTCACATTCATGAATATGTATGCATGTGTATAACTGAATTTGAGCAAAGTAGTGTGCATAAAGATGTACCAGCCTCTTGTGCATGTATGTTCAGTTTTTCACTTGTCTGTGTGCATTCCTGTGTGTGTTTTACAAAAAAACCAAAAAAAAAAACCAACAACAACATAATAGATCTGCTCTGTTCTGACATAATCTCCTCAGCTCAGCCCAGTGTGGGCCAGCCCAGTCTGGACCAGTTTGGCTCAGCAGGAGCCCTCCAGCACACATCCCCACCTGTGTGCTCCCATTACTGCATCTCAGCTGCAGCAGCACTAATGACAACCTGTAACAACCTCCTATTTCATCAAACCTAGTTTCTATCAAAGCAACAAATTAGTCCCACAGACAAAGCACTCACCTGCTACTGGCAAACAATGAACACCGACTGAAGTCTTAACATGTGTTCGTGTCACAGTTTTCTTAGAATATATCATGTCTCTCTGAGAATAATGGCAGTCATTATCTGTGTGTTTTCTTTGTCTCGACTAAGATAATATACAGAACCACATCAACATAGGAACATTAATAAAAACAAGCGAATAACAATAATGACAAACAGTACAAGTTTATCATTAACACACACAGGTGTTAATGGCAACTGAAAGGCTGCTAGCTAGCTAAGCTGTTTCAACAGAGTTATGTGTGTTTTTTTCCCCCCCAAAAAAAGTAGCAGTTACAAGAAGATGCTGACCACAGTAGTTTACTGCAAAGATCTTGTGACAAGCACATTTCAGAAAACCTTCCAGTAATAGAAAGTACAGAGAAAAATGGGTAGATAATGCAAATTAGCTGCTGATCAGTCCCTCTAAGTAAGTAAAAAAAAAAGGAAAAACAAGAAGCACTACATAGTGGTTGTAATGTAAAATTGTATTGTATTTTGTGTAATTGATTTTATCCCCTTCATTCATTCTTTCAATTTAAAAATAAACAGATACATTCCTGGATTGTTTCTCGTAGCAAATAATGAGCCCTAAATATACATAAATATATTGATCCCCATGAGGAACTTCTTTCCTCTCCTGGAAGGTCAGAGTCCACAACAGCAAGCCCGAAGCACTTGTCCAAAGAAGCTTCAGCAGTGCAGATTCTGGCCCACACAGGGGCTTGAACCTGGGCTCCTCACCTCCCTCTGCTCACCATGGCACCCTGCTGTATCCACCCACCTCTTCCATCAAGCACTTACCATCTCGTGACATGCCCACTGCCAGGCACTTCTGCAGCCGGCAGTGCTGGCAGCGGTTGCGGCTGGTGCGGTCGATCAGGCAGTTCTTCTGACGGGGGCAGGAGTAGGCTGCATTGCTCTGCTGACTCCTCCGGAAGAAGCCCTGCACAGGAAAAGGGGCATGGAAACACATCGGGTTACTGGACAAACCATGTTCTGGGACTGTAGGATCAATTCATAATGTCTTCATAATGTTTTAGTGCTAAAAAAATTCATCACTGATTAATAATGAGTTGTATTCCTAGCGGTTATATTTTTATTATACTTCTGCCAAAGAGATAGATAATAACACTACTGTGATGGTATTTTCTTGGATGTACTATCTGCCATTCAGAGAGCGCTGTATTTCACCAGTGTGTACAGCAGGAGGGTGGTGTGTTTGGGTAGGACTGATAACAGTGGATGGTATTTTTCTTCAGTGGGGTTATTAGTGTTGATTAACGCAGCACTGGCATGTGCAGTGCTAAAGGATTGCGAATGCACACCGACTGGATTCCTCATCCTTTGACTTAATGAATTGATTCCAGCACATCATTAACATGCCCCACTCTACTGCTCCATACACATATGTCTTAATTAGCTGCTCATTGGCTGTTTAATTACAAGAAAACAGCTGACAGCTGCCAAGTTGCTTTATAATGGAAGCCATTATGGAAACAGGCTATAACTGCCAGTGACAAGCAGCACTCTTTAATAATGCTATGATTTATGGTCCAAACTTTTGTACTCGCACATATCATTAAAGGCCTCTCTGCCTTGGACTAATTAGCAATCATTAAAGATAGATTTCAGCAGTTTATTCTTTAGTGTTTTGTTCCTTGCAGCTCCTGTGTGAGGGAGAGGAGCACTGGGAAGAGCAGCTGAAAGGAACCCCTCTCTCTCTCTCTCTCTCTCTCTCTCTCTCTCTGTCTCTCTCTCTCCCCCCCCAGACACACACACACACACACACACACACACACACAAACACACAAACACACACACACACACACACACACACACACACACACACACACACACACACAGGAGCAAACAGCAAAGGTGCAGGCTGGCTGAGGAATGCTAATGATGTGCCTGGTGACAAGTACAGGGACAAGAATACACTCTAAGCACAAAATTCCCCTCACTGTGAATGGCTGGTGCATTTGAAACAGTACAAAAGGCGGCTTCAATGGAAGCAACACTGTAGCAAACAGCCAACAATCTGCTATAATTCAAAGCACTCTCCTTTTGATCATTTTATTTCAAGAAGAGCAGGCTGCAGCAGAAGCAAAAAAAAAAACAGTGAAAAGACAGGCCCTGGGAGGGAAAGGAAGAGCAAGGCAGAGGAATGACTTTGTCCTACTAATTGTGGTTATATGTGATGTACTCTGTGGTGCTTGACCACTTTCATGATCACGTTCTGTGTGTTTACACTTCGCAGTCTCTTTCCAAATCATCGTAAAACTTCAGCAACAATTTCATTTTTTCCTAGCAAGCAACTTTTTATTTACTTCCTCAATTTCTCCCGTCTTTCCCCCTCAGCGTTCCTGTCCCTCACACATACACACACACACACACACACACACACACACACACACACACACAACCTCCCATGACACACAGGTTCAATCTCTTGATGCTTACCTTACAGCCTTCACATGTTATCACTCCGTAATGGATGCCTGATGATTTGTCTCCACAGATCTTGCAGGGAATTATTTCGATTTGAGCTGCAGAGAAGAAAAGGAAATGGAAGAAATAAAAATAAAAAATCAACATTTTGCTGTCACAAGTCACTGTGCAACACTCTCACCATGGATCCATGTTGGTACATGAAAGAGCTCTGTGCTTCTAAAAAGCATCTCATCCGGTGGTTTTTGAATCCTCACTTCCACCGAGCATTAGCTGAATATTTACAAAATGGTGTGTGTGTGTGTGTGTGTGTGTGTGTGTGTGTGTGTGTGTGTGTGTGTGTGTGTGTGTCTGTGTGTGTGAAGGAGGCCATTTTAAGTCTTCACAAGCAGCTAATGTAGACATGGTGTCAATTTGCATCCTCAACACAATTTACATAAGGAAAAACCCAGCCAAACCACAGTAGCACTACTACTAGCCTTGTGCAATGACAAAGGCTCACTTAGCCACATGAGGGCACATACTCGCTATTGGAAAACTTAACTTCATGAAGCCTCTTAAACTTCAAAACCATAAAAACCTCAGGAGTAAATCCTCTGCAGCCACAAAGTATCATAACATGCCCACTGTGCTGGATGGAGCGGTGGCAGTTACTGTGTTTGGTGAGGGGGGGGGGGGGGTTGGCTGTGGTGTTGTGCTGTTGACAGGCCTGTGATTCACCCGCCATAGAGGACAAAAGCACAGAGAGGACAGGCCTCATCCATCGTTGGCCTTCTCTTCAGGAGCAGACCACAGGGCAACACAACAGAACAGACAGAACACACAGACATCAGAGACACAGAACTCCCAGCTCGTCCCACTGCTCTCAGCTTTATCACTGCAGCCACTGATGCTACATCCCTCTCCACCTCCACCTCCCCTTCTGTCTTACCCCCCCTCTCTCTCTCTCTCTCTCTCGTTCTCCCCCCAGAGATCTCTATCTCACAGCCCTCCTCCACATCTCCAACATCTCAGTCCCACCATCCCAACAGTGCACTGCAGCGCCAGACAAACTCCGCTATCTGATCTAAATCGAGGAAAGATCACTGCGGGATATTTTCTCACGATGTAATGGTTTTCTCCAACCAGCCATGCAGCTAACCAATCACAGCGCACGGAGCTATTGCAACACAAGTCTATACCAATTAGGGGAGGAATATTATGATTTTGCCTTAATAAGATGCAATAAAAAATATAATAATTTTTAAAAAGTGGTGGTACATTCACTATGTCAAAGTGTTACATCAGGCCCTCCCCTCTAGCCAGGCCTAACTGTCTACTATCGAGCCTCATGTCTTTTCCCAAGACTAGAAGCTTCTAATATCCCTTGTACACCTTAACAACCAACCTCTTTAAACTAGTTTGATCACATCAAAAGTACTTTTGTTAGGGTTCAATCCAGAGATCCCGGCCCATTTTAATCATCTGCCTAGGAGCTTGTAATGTGTCATGTGGATAATGTCCTTGTCCCCGAGGCATGCCCGGGAGAGGCCCTTAACACAGAGCCTCTAATCCACTAACCCCGGAGCCACATTCTATTCATTCAGGAATCTGTGTCTGTTCTCCTCGCGCTGCTGGAGTCAACAAGACCGGCCATGTTTACATGGAATTAGCCTACATTTTAGTAAAATGAACAAAAGGGAGTGGTAGAACATGCACAATTAATTCTCCTCCAGACAACACCTCCTGCGATTTGTGATTCTCACGTACAATAGAGGGCACTGCACCTCGTCGGCCCAGATTAGAGTGAAATCCAGGCAGGAGGCGGGCTTTGACTACCTAACTGAGAGGGTTAATTTATAATTAATCTTTTCCTTACTGTGCACAGTTGCTTGTTATTTCGGTTAGGTCTATCTCTGTATGAGTGCACTCTATTGTTTGTTTTTGTGTTCTCCCTGCATGAGCATTAGCAGTGCAGTGTGTTTCAACTCCTTTAGCATTTTCAGCCTCATTACTTACATAATTTGTTCTGACATGCACTCACAACAACTGAAGCGTGCTGTAATTATGACTAGCTGTGGTTATGGTGAACTAAAGGTTGTAGTGATAGGCCCCAGCCATTGGGTGGCAGTGCAGGGCTGTGGCTATGGTTGTCTTGTCAAGTTAAGCCAAGCTTCCACCCACCCTATCCAGCCTACAGGCTTTTGGCTCTGAGCTCCAGCCTCTGATAGCTCCAGGCTTAGGCTGCTGCTAGCTTCCCCACCCCCACAGCATAGCTGTGAGATGCCTTCATCTCTCCTGAAGAAGCGGAGCTGGCTGGGCGCTCGCTCAGGCCTGACAGAGGCTGTGCCACATCAGGTGAAAGCAGTGGGAGTAGAGACGCGGGGGTGCCAGGCCGGGCAGGGCATACACATACACGAGCATGCCTCACAAAGCCCTATCTGCAGCAGGAAGGCCCTGGGTGCACACAGCCTCACCAGCTAACACCCTCTCACTCCACCGCTGCACAAGCCCCTGGATGCTCAGTGCACTCAACAGTAAAAAGGGTTTGTCTCTGGACCGGCTGAGACGGGCTCTGTAGTTTCTTGTATGAGAGTCTGAACATATAGTTATTTCCACACTGTGATAAGCTGCTTTCAAAAAGATGTGGAGAGAGGGGGGTCAACGAGAATAAATACAGAGCAATGACACAATGGAGATCAAATACACCATGAAGTCACCAACACCATCAGCCTAAGTCAATATTTGTATACCTGTATGACTGTGCAAGTTGCCCTCTTGAATGACTGATCATGGGGTACACTAAGCTGCACTTCAGACACTAAGGATGATTTAAACAGGAGTTCACACAGGAGAGTCAGTCAAACAAAAAGGCCTGTGCTTACTGTATAAGCACTCCCAAATCTGGCAGTCAATATCTATTGACATGAGCTGCGGTGTTAACTGCCTCTTGGTGTGAAACGGGCAGCTGCTGGCTCGCTTGAGCTTGACCAGCGCAGTGCCACTGATCCCATTCACCGCGCCTGCCTGCCTGCCTGCCTGCCTGCCCGCTTCCCTGCCAGCCAGCCCTGCCTGCTCTGTTTACGACATCAAAGCCAGGCACAGTTAGACGGGCAGCCATGCTAAAGCCCATCCCAGCAGCCTGCCGCTCCTCACAGCACTGTGAGATGGCCTCTGCACGCAGGCCACTTCAAAGACACCTGCTGAGACCCCAAGATTATGTGCGAATCACACTACAGCACAATCACACCACGAGCATAACCATAAGGGCCGGACAGCGGCTCAAAACTGATTTCCTGTATGCAACATTGCAGCCTGGCGTGGGTGTCTTGGACAAAAGGCATGGCAAAGAGAGGAGACAGTCAAGCCGAATGCTAAAGCTTGTTCTTTGTCTGTCTGTGGTTGAGCAGTTCAAGGACACTGATTCACCACACTAGCAGGCCCTTTGAGGGGATGACGTGTCACTCAGAGCACATGTACAATAGGGCAGCGAGGCCTCTGCATGTTCACCCAGTGCCCTTCACTGTCTTCTCCACAGCCCTGAGATCAACCCACTGCTAAAACTACACTATATTATCAAAGAGCTGGAAACTGACAGTCAAATGTGAACGCCCAGAACACTTGCCAAATGCACACTAACAGCTTACAGGGGCCCTGTCGTAGTTTATTTTATTATAAGCATTGAATAGACAGACACTGTCAGACACAGAACTTCCTCCCTCTGCACTGAAAATGTAGTATTACTTAATTCACAAGACATTCACATTGTGAGGCTAATAAATACATTATTAATAATTCGTATTTATGAATAAATATTTAGAAATGTTGATACTCTGGTAGTCAGCGTAAATTCCTAATGAAAAACTATTAGTATGCACTGAGGAGGACCTGCTATACTGGGATATACTGTTTTCAGATTAAAAACAATTTATTTAGTTCCTGCTTATTATTCTTTAATTCGTGTTTTTTTTTATTCTTATTCCTGTTTTTTTGAAATTACACTTTCAATATAGCCTGCTGCTTACATAGACAAAATAGCATAAAACTGAAAACCGTACAGGCTTTTGCAAACATGGAAAAACACCCGTCAAAATCTCCTGGCTGTTCCCACTGAACCCTTGGACCACTGACATAACGTTGAAGGATTAAGATTATCCCTTACATTACAGACCCATGCCCAGGCCACCGTCATAATGCTGAGAGCTTAACCCATTACTCGATTGGACCATTAAATCATTTTCTCATGGCCTGATGATTCATGATAGATGCGCACAATAAATGAGGTCTGAAATCGAGGTTTCTATACTGTTCTCTATATGCAGATCTTTTTTTTTCTCCATTGGCTCATTTACAATGCACATCATTCCAAAAGAAAGCATGCAAAGCAGTTGGAGGAAAAACACATTTGCTTTTCTGTGCATGGCGGTGTGTGTTTGAGTGTGTATATATGAGTGTGTGTATTGGTCGTGTTGTGTTGACAGCTGTCAATGACAGAATGACGCAAGCCAGTGGGCTCATGTCAGAGATTATGTAAGGAACTGGACAGGGCACAGCATTATGAACAGATTAACAATACGCCTACCATCAGACAAACTGTGGTAATACATTCTCATTTTATAATATTTTGCAACAAAACCAAACAAAAGCTTATGGAGGATCAAATGCCGACTCTCAGGACTGTTAAACAAAAGCAGATTTTCTTAAAAACAGAGCATTTACACATGGTCAACATACAAAGACCAGGGACACTGAACTGGCTTGCAAATGGCACTAAGCAAAGTTATTTCATCATTAAGTGCAGCAATTCATTTTGCTACACGAACTTCCCATTTGGCGGTGGAGATCAGCTGTCGGTTGATAAACAGAGTCTTCTCTAAACAGATACCCATGACAGTCAGATCTAGCTGTAGAGAGACGACAGCCTAACAAGAGCTGGAATCAGAATTCTGGCTCTTTTCATCTGCCAGGGCTCTGCTGTCATGTGAAGTCGCACAACACAATACTTTTTTATTCCCATTTATGCAGCAGAAGAAAGGTTATTTGAATGTCAGTGGCAAAGGACAGTCGTGGCACGGAACACAGGCGGAATAGTATAAATGTGTTATTTGTTTAGGGATCG